TCATCGACATCACACGTACCTTCTTCTTAAAGCATCATCCTCAACTTCAAGCTCCAACTTAGCAGTCGCTCCATGCCTCTATCGTCGTAGACTCAGCCTCTTCGTCAATCTTGGCCTATCTTTTTCTTCTTCAATCTTCAGTTCTTCTTCTCAAGCATATGTTCTGATTGATTTTTTTAAAAGAAACCTAGGCTAAACAGGTGGCCTAGACCTGCCCGTACCCGTTTGGACTCATTTAAAAATGGGTGCAAATAGGTGAGTAGTGAGTAAGGACATGGATGACCCATACCCCACCCATGCACACCCCTATTGTCCACATTGCAAAAACATACACATTCATCATAACATGCAAGATTTCATTTCTCAAAACTCATTTGATATGTATGAGTGTATATTAATTTACACTGCAAAATTGATTGTTAAGGAAAAAGTAGGAACTATTGTTTTTGTGTGTGCGTGTGCGTGCGTGCATGTGTGTGTGATTTTAAATGTGATAAGTAACATCCCCTAAAACAGATAACTAACATGTGAGGTGTGTGTGTGATTTTAAATGTGATAAGTAACATTTCCTAAAACAGATAACTAACATGTGAGGTGTGTGTGTGATTTTAAATGTGATAAGTAACATCCTCTAAAATAGATAATTAACATGTGAGGTAAATTAAATGTGATTATCTCTCACCAAAACTAAAATAACAAAAATTATACTAGTGTAGTATCTTTTGCCAAAGAGCAACACGTCATGCAAAGAGTCTACAATAAGCCAGATAAATTTCTAATTAATTTTACAACAAACCCCAAAAACCAAGATAACTATAACTACTGATCAATTTATTCAGTCAAAACAAGATTAAGCCACCTCTATAACTTATCCACAATTTTTAATCCTCCAATTATACAAAAATCCAATCCAAAAATTAATAAAATTCCAATTTGTTTCCCCAAATGTATATGTTCAAAATAAACCTCAATCAACCATAATTATCTTCCAAATCATTAAATATCAACACTATAATTAAGAGTCTAGGGTTTACTCTAATCAATTCCAAATTCTCTAATCAACCGAGTAAACAAAATAAATGCTTTAAAAACCTCCAATTAGCTCAACCCATTGAATTAAAACAAAGATTAATCAATAGAGACCTTAAAAAATTTGAAACTCTAACAAATCCTCCAGTTAACATCCCAAAATCCACAAAAATCTAGATGAGGGTGGTAGAATCAAGGTTAGGGATACTTATTAGGTTTGAAAGCTCAAAATCATGTCCAAATTCATCCCTAGGTGTGCCCTAGTAGGCCCTCTTTGCGTCTCTCTCCTCCTCTTCTATTTTTGAATGTCTAAACCCTATTGATAAATCTAATTTACAAGCATGTTTGTGGACAAATATGCTAGTTAAAATTGTTTCTGCATGTGGGTGAATGTTGAAGGTAGAGGTAAGAATCAGGGCAGGCCCAACGCTTATTTAAAGAGCTCAAGGTTGGGTCCTTAAGCCCTCTTTCTCAAAAAAAAAATTGAACATTTTAATTTAAACATAATATTTAAAATTTAGCATAAAACAAATTAAAATCTCACACAAAATTTAACAAAGATTTAAAATTTTAAATTTAAGATGAAGATTAAAATCTTCATCAATGTAAATCTAAATTCTTCTTATCATCATCTAAAAATAAAAATATTAGATCCCTCAAATGTAAATTCACTTGTTGAAGATGGAAATGAAAATTTCATGTCAATTATCTCTACAACTTTTTTTATCACCTACAATAAATATTAACCAAATTGTGTCATTATTAATTAAATATATGTATGTATGTGTGTGTGTATATATAAGATAACCGGGCTTATCAGGGCTACCCAAGCTTAAACCTTTTTTTATAGGGCTTATTAGGACTAAGCACTCAAGCTCGATTATTTTAAAAGAATTAATTTTTAAAACTCGAATCTTTATTTAAACATGACCTTTAAACTTGATCCTTATTTTTTACTCTAGTTGAAGGGTGATTCTTTTGTTTGATGTTTGTCTATGGATGGATGTGCACATAATGTGACATGTCTATGAGTGGATGCAACCCAAGAGTCCAGTTGCCCCTCTCTATCCATGTCTGCGGTTAGATATGGCTCTTCACGCCACATCCATTGACAAACAATGCTAGAATCACATATCTCTATATTCTGACATATTATTGTTGTCTTCCACCTATGGTATTAAAAATTGAACTTGACCGATCGATCGGACCAGCGACCCAACCATCTTTTCAGCCCAATTTTGCTACTTCAATTAGAGCTGTCTGACCCACGTTAACTCGAGCGACCCCATGTTAACCCGAATCAGCACGCCAAACCCCACGGGTCAAGCGAGTTGGTATTTTTAAAATTTTTGACCCCAAAATGACGTCATTTTAGGGGGTTAGAATTAAAAAAAAGGTCAGAGCTGATGCCTGAATTATGAATCTTAATACAACTCAGATCTAAAGCTGAAACACAGACACTAAAAAGAACACATATGCTGTAAAGCTGAAATTAAGTCAATCTCGCACCCTCACTCAGATCTCTCCACATACTCGCCTTTTCGGTCTCTCATCTCTACCTCTCACAGACTCGCATCTCTGGTCTGTCATCTATGGTTTTCGTCTCTGACTCTCACATACTCGCACTCTCTGGTTTAGTGGTTTGTGGTCTTCGTCTCTGCCTCTCATAGATTCGCACTCTCTGGTCTTTGCTGCAGTCCATCTTTGCCTCGCACAGACTCACGTCTTTGGTTTGTGCTCTTAATCTCTCATTCTATATCTTCCACCCTTCATTCTCAACTTCCGTCTTCAACCTCTGTCATTGAGCTTCAGGAATAATTTTCTTCTTCTCAGGTGTATCTTCTCAACTGTTTCTTGCACCTGTTTTTGCTCTCTCTCCCTCAGTCCCTCCCAACTTCAGGTGTATCTTCTTCTTCTCTCTCCCTCCCTGTCGATTTCAGTGTCAGCATGTTGGTGTTGCTTTGTATCTGATAATTCTAGTAGTTAGAATGCATTGATTTACTTTGGTCGTCGATTCGGTTACTTGCTCTGTATCACCATCTTAGTATGTTTGATTCCAAAGACATGTATGCGTTAGACTTGTCATTGCTCTTGTGTTTTTAATGATATTTTGATAATTGTGTTAGACTTATATGTGGTATTGTATAAGATATTAAGTTTTAGAGAATTTATTTTTATTTAAATTATATTATTTTATTATGTTCAGTTTGATCCGGATTGACCTTCAATTGAATCCTTTACCCCTGACTCTTGACCTTAGTCGGTTCAATAATCGGTTTGGTTTTCATTACCTTACTTTCACCTATTTAGTTCTAAGATCAACCTTAATAAAAAGTTTCCAAATCTTTTCCTAATAACTTAAAGCCCTCAAATCTGGAATCAGCATGTTACATTCATCACCAACTATTCTTCAAATTAAAGTGGTTTTGCTATTTTGAGTGCATCATGACCACAAAATCATTGTGCAACTGCTTACGAAAGGGGGAAAAAAAAAATTCATAGTGCAGCTTACTGTCACGGATGATATTTCCGTGACCGTGTAAAGACCAAGATAATGAACGGTCCGCTGGTTAGCCTCGCACAATATGGGTAAAGGGGGCGACATTAGCATTGGGGGTGTTCTGCCTCAGTCTTCGGACTGTGTGCACAACTGGTCGGGGGCTAGTGCCGCCTCCCTGATGAGCCCATGGCAGGGCGAAACCAGTGTGATCCGTACGTGGTAAGGCTTGTCCTGAGGATTATGGGGTCCTCCAGGACGCCGCACGGGCGCCGTGTGCTGCGCCAGACTCTCAGCCCGTGACAGAGTGGTATCAGAGCAGGACGTACTTTACTGCCGTGTGCGCGTGGGGTCCCACGTTGGGACTGGTCGGCCTCGGCACCGCTCCAGAAAGGCCTCCGAGCAGGTGGGTCCAAAAGTGGGGACTCGGGCGGGATGGTTGGCCGTTGTCGACTCCACTCCTGTTGGCTCGCGGGTGCGAGTGGGTCCGAAGAGTGCAGGACTCGGGTGGCCACTCAGCAAGTAAGCTGGTGTGTTTGTGGCAGTACTGTACGTACGATCCTTGGGCGGAGTCGTTCTCCCCTAGCACGAGGACGTGCTAGATTGGGTGTGGGAGAATGTCACGGATGATATTTCCGTGACCGTGTAAAGACCAAGATAATGAACGGTCCGCTGGTTAGCCTCGCACAATATGGGTAAAGGGGGCGACATTAGCATTGGGGGTGTTCTGCCTCAGTCTTCGGACTGTGTGCACAACTGGTCGGGGGCTAGTGCCGCCTCCCTGATGAGCCCATGGCAGGGCGAAACCAGTGTGATCCGTACGTGGTAAGGCTTGTCCTGAGGATTATGGGGTCCTCCAGGACGCCGCACGGGCGCCGTGTGCTGCGCCAGACTCTCAGCCCGTGACATTACGCTTTACATTATATCTTTTAGCTCAATGTCAAATCACGCCACGTTGGGTAAGGCCCAAGAAAATAAACAATTAAAAAAACCGGCAGACATTTATGCTGCTCTCTCGTGCATGTATACTCCTTTCAACTTACTTGTAAGGCATATTTAAAAAGAAATTTTATTTAAAATATATGATATTTTATAATAATTAAATTATTTTTTTAATTTTTATCCTTTCTTGATCAACTTAAAAATATTTAATGTAATTATATTATTATTTATAATTAAAAATAAAAATAAAAATATTTACTTTTTTATAATAAAAAATTAACTTTTATTAAAATACGTAAAATGATTAAGCGTGTTCTATAATAACAACTGAAAGGAGTATAAAATTTTTTTTAAAATATTATTTAATTCAAAATATAAAGTATTATATAATTTTTATAATTAATTTTATATTATTTTGGTCCAAATCAATTTTATATTTATATCCTTATCCATACTTTATTAATTATTTTTTATAAAAAATAGTGTACTAAAATTTTTAATTTTAATTATTAAGACACACCCATATTTATAAAGAATTTAATAAAAAATGTAATTGAAAAGATATATGACAAAATATTTTTAAAAAAATAAAATTTTGGCAAACTTTTATTAATTAATGCTAACGCTAATAGCACTCGTTGGCATTGTCCACCGAGGCACCAACCCCAAACATTATTGCTTTGTCTTGTCGTTATCACCTTGTGCCTGAACTGAACCTTTGACTCTCCGTCCCGGCGCCGTGATCGCCGTCTCTCCTCCTGACTGTCGCCTTCGTGATGCGTTTCTGTGGCCAAGCGTAGTTTCGTTTTCGTGCTGTGTGGTAGTGCCACCGCCGTGATATTCAGGTTCGTGATTCGTCCTCGCCTTCTTGGTTCCTTCAGGTTTGTTCTTCCTCCATCGTCTTTCCTATCCTCTGATGTCTAATCTCTGTCTTTGCTTGGTCTTTGTGCTGGATATATGTAATTCTGTCCTGGTCTCTTGGCTTTGGGCTGAAACTTGTTGCTAGTAAGTTAGACGGCGTAAAAGATAACTCCATTGGCGCCTGCTTGAAACATTCCTTTCACTTAAATTTCGAATTGCAGAACTGAAGTGAAGATAATCATACTACCTCTTCTATACGAAGAAATTAATACCTCAAATGAATACTTGCTTTTATGACCCGACTTTCTCTCCCTTTCTATGTTTTTGATTTTTAAAACCTTTTGAATATTGGCTAAAAATAGACTCTCTCCTTAAATGTCTGAAAACGATGTAATGCACTCTTTAAATTACTAAATGAGAATTTTACATGGGGAGAATAATAAGGAGGAAAGAAATCTATCAGATAAAATTTCTAAAAATAGTAAAAAAAAAAAAGTACTATTTTTGAAAATTGCTTTGCAGTGGTAGACTGCTAAGAAAGCATAAAAGAAGGTAGAGGCACTGATAATATATCACTGCAGCACAAGATTGGCAAAAGTTAAATAAGTGAAGATCCCAAAGCAATTGCAAAGTGAAATTAAATATGTCAAAATTTAGATTTTTTATCAGAATGAAAAATTAGTAGAGGTTGAGAAAAAGAAGGAAAAAAATTACTTATGGATAACATAGTGACAACACTGTCAATTACAAAGGACCTTGTGTCCCAGAATGGACATGTCGAATTACTAAATATATATATATATATATATATATATGTATACTTGCTTCCTATCTCCTGAATTTCTGTTTCTCCAATAGAACACTCGATCCTGTCTTATTCTCTTGATGGAAGAGAGCAGAGGAAGAGTATGTGTTACTGGTGGTACTGGCTTTGTTGGTTCCTGGATTATTAAGAGACTTCTTGAAGACGGTTACTCTGTAAATACTACCATTAGATCCCACCCAGGTACACAATGTATATTTGAAGAAAATATATATACTATCAATTTATCTTCTATAATAACTTAAAGTATCTGCCAAGAGATTTTCTGGCGTTCACCTCGTGAAAGCTCGATCCTCTTGTATCCAGTAGTGGTTTTAATTTCGTTTTTCTATGTCGGGTTTGTTTTAATATTATTTTCCTCTTTCTTTTTACAAGAAACTGCAGATTAGATGAAAACTTTTTGGAATGATGTAATCTCAGGATTTTCATTTCCATTGCAGAACAAAAGAAAGATGTGAGCTTCCTCACAAATTTGCCAGGAGCATCTCAAAGGCTACAAATCCTAAATGCAGACCTAAGCAACCCAGATAGTTTCAAGGAAGCCATTGAGGGGTGCATTGGAGTATTCCATGTGGCTACCCCAATTGACTTTGAGGAAAGTGAACCTGAAGAGGTTGTGACGAAAAGATCTATTGATGGAGCCTTGGGCATTTTGAAGGCATGTGTCACTTCAAAAAGTATAAAGCGAGTTGTTTATACATCTAGCGCTGTAACTGTTTCATATGGTGGTAAAGAAGATGAAGCGAAGGATGAGAGCTCATGGAGTGACGTGGATTTCCTTAGAACATTGAAGATTTATGGATCATCCTATGCAATTTCTAAGACTTTGACAGAGAAGGCAGTGCTAGAATTTGGAGAACAAAATGGATTAGATGTCGTGACTGTGATTCCCCCTGCTGTTGTCGGACCGTTCATTTGCTCTAGGCTTCCTGTCTCAGTTCGTCCTTGTCTTTATTTCTTGTTTGGTATGCTTTCCAGGTGAAATGGTTTTGACAAGTTTAAGTTTGCACAAAATAGACCTATTTTATATGCACTTGAATAGGGCAAAGGTAAAATACCTATAAAGAAGTTTGAACCCTTGCCAATTTGTCGCTTTGATTGGAGTTCTAACATTTATATATGATCATTTGGCTATGCATTTTGGCTTGGTCATTAACTTCTGGTCTTTTTAAAAATTGATGCAGATAACAAGGAACCATCGAGTTACCTGGAAATCAATATGGTGCATGTGGATGACCTGGCAAGAGCACATATGTTTCTGCTTGAACATCCCAATCCAAAAGGGAGGTATAATTGTTCTACATGTTTGGCAGCCATTGAAGAAGTGCTTGAGATTTTGTCTGTTAAATATCCAAAATTTCAAATACCAACCATAGAGTGAGTTCTCTTGTTCTTCTGATCTTTTCCATACTTGATTCAAATAAATTGCTTGTCTTCCTTATGTTTTAACGTTTATTTCGCCATTTCTTCTCTTATTCGTTGTAGTTCCTTAAGAGACAGGAATGGCTTGAAGTTTCCTTATGTGTCGTCTAAGAAGCTCATAGATGCTGGGTTTGAGTTCAAGTACGGACTTGAGGCAATGTTGGTGGATTTAATTGAATGCTGCGTGGAAAAGGGTTATTTGGAGTCATAATTTGTTATCAGATTAATTATCCAATCAAAATATGTTGCATGTTTGGTGATTTTTTTATAAGACAAGTGTTCGGTGTTATAATAATAATATGACTAGTATATTGTCTTTTCAGCAAGCAAGCGTGTGATTGTGAATTACATTGTGCGACAAACTATAGTTTGGTACATCGCTTTCATATGGACACTGTGAATATGTGAAACGTTGTTTTGACAGTTAACAGGATATGGACATGGTTTGCATTACTCAGGGAGCCAGGGCTATTACAAGTTCAGCGAACTAAGAAATTTCCATCCATAAAACAAAAAAAAATATATATATATATATATAAACATATATGTATGTATGTATGTATGTATGTATGTTGAAATATGATGCCAACAATATAATCTAACATTTACGTACACACTGAACTCCCCAAAGTACATGATCATAATTAACTGATTTCACCTAGACCGCATAACTTCAACTTGTGGTGTTAATTAAGGAGATGAATTTCTAACTTAATGGAGTACTATTTACAAGTATTTCATGCCGACTACATTTCACCTAGACTGCATAATTTCAAATTTAGCAACATGCTAATTTTCCATTTGGGTAAAATGCTAAATTCTCGCACTAACCAAAATGATAAATGTTTGCCGGAAAGGATGTGCTGATTTTGGAGGAATGATGATCAGTGGTGTAAAAAATAATCACTTCAAAACCATCATACGTCAGTAAATGATCTTGACGTGAATAATAAAAGCAGAATAGAAATCATAGGTTTGCATTCTGTGCTCATCATGCTGAAGAGCACGGCATGCTCATCACCCACATGGATGATCCTAGCTATTTATTTTATTTTAAAATGATCTTTGTCTTTAATTTTAAATTAATTTTTAAATATTTTAAATATTATATTTGTGAAAATAAAAATTATAAAAAATTATTATTAAATTTTGAGTGTTTAAAATATATCTAGATAGTCAATTTGTAAAAAATATAAAAAAATTTAATATTAAATTGGATCATTTAGATTATATCTGGACTATCCAAAATATATCTAAACAGTCAATTTATAAAAGATATAAAAAATTTTATATTAAATTGAATCATTCAGATTAAATCTGAACTAATAAAATTGATTATCAATAGATTTATTAAAAATTTTATCTTTTTTATGTATTTTTATTTTGATTAATATAAAATAAAAATAAAAATTTAAATATGAATTGTCTAGATCCTGTTAGGAGTGATATATATGATAGTGTTTATCATGTAATGAGCACTAAGAGCATTTCAAATTTAATATTAAAAATTTCTATAATTTTTATTTTCATAAATATAATATTTACAATATTTAAAAATTAATTTAAAATTAAAGACAGAGATCATTTTAACATAAAATGAAAGGCTGGGATCATCCTTGTGAGTGATGACCATGCTGTGCTCAGCAGCATGATAAGCGCAGAATGCAAATCCGACTTGTCCCAAGTCTAAAGGTGGAGTTGGGTTAGGTCCAAGAAAAGAAACAACCAAAAAACAAAATTAATAATAATAAAAAAAAACAGGGCTATTATATGGGCCTTGTTTTAAATTGTTTTTATTTTATTATTTTAAAAAATTAATGTTTTGTAAAATATATTTTATATTTTTTTTTTCGTTTTTCAAAATAATAATTTTGAAACACTTAAAAAATATTTTTATTTTTTATTTTTTATAATAATATTATTTTTTAAAAAATATGTTATTAAATAATTTTTTTTCATTTTTTGTTTTTGAAAAACAGAAAATTATCCTTAAAATAACACTAGCCCGTAACTTTATGGTTGTGCCAGTACGAGTTGTGCTTGGCTTAATTCCAACCATTTATTTAATTTGAGTTTAAAATATTTAAATATATTTTAAAAACTTATAATATCTTAAGGTTTGTCGAGTTTATTTGAGTTGAATTGAATTATCGGTTCTGCTTTCAAATCTTTCATACCGGGCACCTTTTTAGAGAATGGTATTTTCGCTTTCTATTTTTCGACAAGGAATGCCTATTATAGAAGGAAGACCTCGCCGGCGATGTTGTTATTGTTGTTTACGGCGGCGGTGGCTAAGGAGGTCTTGCTGAAGATGAGGATGCGAGCAAGCAAGAGAGCGGCGGAGAGGAGGAGAGGCATGAAGCAAGCCAAGACGGTGAGGAATTTGGGAGCGAAGACGGTGGAGGAGGAGACAGTGAAGGCTAAATTAATCTTGCATTCTGGAATCCATGATCGCATATCTTTGATTAAATTAATTAAAAACCCTTCCTGGATATTCGCTCGGGTAATAATACCACCACTTTTCTTTATTTCGTCAAGCTTTCAAGTCTAATCTCAGAAGGATGCTCAACTATCTAGATCTTTGTTTATTTATTTATTTATTTATTTTTGCCACTTGTATTCCAGATCCAGTTAAAAGGCTATGCCAAATAGTGAACTAAAACCAAACGGAGTAATCTTACACTCTCTTCAAGATATAGGTTGTTTTCATTAGAATGAAGAAAATTTTACCCAAGTGAAGGCCTATTTTACTAATGAAAATCCCATTTCCCCACCTTCATTTGGCTCTCGGATTATATAAGGTCTAGAAAAGGTACAGAGTCGCTCGACCATAGGTAGAGGAATTTATATCTATATAAACCAATTTGAAGAGAGTCTGAGGGATCTCCGTGATAAGGATGACAATGGCGATGGAGTTAGAGAGAGAGAGAGAGAGAGAGAGAGACTTGGTGGCGATGAAAGACGGAAAAAGAGGGTGGTTGTGTGAGCAGAGATTTCGGAAGACGAGGGTCACATCTATAAGGGCAAATTAGTCTTTCGGAATAAAAAAAAAAATTGCTACCAAAGGGCCTGTAGGATCAATTCAGATTTTATTGGGCTTTAATTGCAACTTTCTTGCTTCCGAGACCTGAAGAAAGAAATAAGAATGGTGCCTGTCTATGCTAACCCTGTATTAAAAAATATAAAATATTTTTAATTTAAAAAAATTAATTATTTAATTTTTATAATTGTAATTCAGTTTTGAAATTTTGATTTGTTATAATTTAATCTTTAAATTTTTGACTTAGTTATAAATCAGCTGAATTTTATCTCTTATAATTTAATCCCTAAAGTTTTAACCTCTTAAATATTGATCCCTATATTTTAAAAAATAAAATTATAAAGATTAAAAATATTTTAAAATTTTAATATTTATAAATATTTAAAGCATTTAGTAATTTAAATATTAGTAATAAATTTTAAAATATTTTTAATCTTTATAATTTTATTTTTTAAAATATAGAATTAATATTTAAAATATTAAAATTTTAAAATTAAATTATAAAAAGTAAAGTTTAAGAATTATTTTATAATTGAATCAAATTGAGTTATAATAAGTGAAATTTTAGGGATTGAATTATAATTGAATTAAAATTATAAAGATTAAATAATTAATTTTTTTTAAATTTAATTTCAACTTTTAATAAAGTAATTTTTTATCTTTAAATTAACTTTATTTTTTTATATTTATTTAAAATAAAAATATTTTTTTTAAAAAAGATAATAATTATATTTTAAAAAATTAAAAATATTTTATATTTTTTAACATTTAATTTTTTTAAAATATTTTATATTTTTTAAATAAAGGGAGGATTTCCTTGTGCCTTGACTGAATCTTTGAGCCCGTGACTATTAGTCACAACAGGGCTGATTTTGGTATTCATAATGATGTTTATCACTGTAATAAAATGTAAATCATTTAAATTTTGATCTGTATATTTTAAATTTAAAATATTATTACACATTATATTTTTAAAATAAAAATTTATTAAATTATAAAATAATTTTAATAATTTATTTTATTTTTAATTTTAATTAAAAGGATTTAATTTAATATTAAAATTTGTAGAATTGATATATATTAATTATTTAAATATATTTTATACAGTTGAAATTAACATGTGTTTAAATCTGAATCATCGAGATTAAAATTTAAACGATCCAGATCTCATGACCATTGCACCGAAAACAGTCTCCAGTCACAACACACCTCGCCACCGTGATCGCCGCCTCTTCTCCTGACTGTCTTCTTCGCGCTGCGTTTTTGTGGTCGAGACATTCACTCAGAGTTTCGTTTTCTTGCTGTGTGCTAGTGCTGCCGAGATATTCAGGTTCGTGATTCGTCTTCGCCTTCTTGGTGCCTTCAGGTTTGTTCTTCCTCCTTCGTCTTTCCTATCGTCTGAAGTCTAATCTCTGTCTGTCCTTCGTCTTTGTGCTGGATATATGTAATTCTTTTCTGGTTTCTTCTTGGCTTAGGTCTGAAACTTGTTGCTTGTAAGTTTGACGGCGTGAAAGATAACTCCATTGGCGTCTGCTTGAAACATTCCTTTCACTTATATTTCGAATTGCAGAACCTCCTCTTATTGGAGGCAATCTCGTAAGATGCATGTCGGACACGAACCTTTTTAGCAGGAATTCGAACCTTGAGGTGCTACATCTTCTTTTTAATCTTCTTTTTATTTATTTTTTATTTTTTCTGTTAAATTCTACCCTTATTTTTGTCAATTAAATTAACTCTTTTTCTATATAATGGACCAGTTCTTTAGTTATATATTTCTAAATATTTATCTATAATTTTACATTGAATAAAATTCTGCAACAGCACTGCTGTTATTGTTATATACACTAAGAATTGATGAAGAAGGAATGGCGGATTGTTCTGATGTTGGATAGAGACATTGTACCGGTGAAAAGCTTTTCACATGCTCCCAAGAAAATAATTTAAGGGTAAAAATGTCTTTAACGCTTTGTTATACCGAAACATGGCCTTTCAACTCAAATAATTTTCGATCTTCCATTGCCAACAACTCTTGTAGTTATTTTGGCTGAATCATCAAGCTTTCTTTTCAGCTAAGAAATTGATGTTACCAATCTAATCTATGAAAAGAAATGAATACCTCAAATGAATGCTTGCGTTCTAAGACCTGCTTGTCCCTTTTTCTCTATTGATTTTCAAAACTTCACGACTCCTTGCTATTTTTCGCTACGTAAATTCACGAAATCAATGCAATGCACTCGTGAAATAATTAGATGATGAGTAATTTAACTTCTAAGCAACAAGATGTACTAATGGACTTCGGTAGGTGAAGGGAGAAAAAAATGAATTGAGAGGTACTAGCAATCTGTCACTACCAAGCAAGGTTGACGAAAGTTCAAAATTGTGGAATTAAAAATCTCTAAAATTTAGAGCTTTCTAGTTACCAAACCAAAAGTAAGTAGAGGTCGAGAAGAAAAAGAAAAAATGACCTTATAAAACATGGATAACTTTGTCACAACATTGAACATGCTTGTCTCCTATCTATAAAATTCGGTTTCTCCAATAGAACCTCGTACGCTCAAGCCTGTCTTCTCTTAATGGAAGAGAGCAAAGGAAGAGTATGTGTCACAGGTGGTACTGGCTTTATTGGTTCCTGGATCATCAAGGTACTACTTGAAGATGGCTATTCTGTTAATACTACCATTAGATCTTACCCAGGTTTCAATGTCTATCCATATATTCGAAGAAAATATATCAACTATCAATTTACCTTCTGTAATAATTTCTTCAAGTATTTCTCCAGAGACTTTACCTAGAGATAATTCTCTGTCAAAAACTGTTAGCCTCTTATGTTTCTCTTATTTATCTGAATTCAGCAATATTTTATAGATTTAAGAGGCGTTATTTTCCTCCTTTATGGGAAAGTGCAAATCAGATTAAAGCTTTTCAGAGTGATGGACTCTTGTGATTTTCATTTACATTGCAGAACACGTGAAAGATGTGAGCTTCCTCACAAATTTGCCAGGAGCATCTCAGAGGCTACAAATTCTGAACGCAGACCTAAACGACCCAGAAAGTTTCAAGGAAGCCATTGAAGGGTGCATTGGAGTATTCCATGTGGCTACTCCAGTAGATTTTGAGGAAAAGGAACCTGAGGAGATTGTGACCAAGAGATCCATTGATGGGGCATTGGGAATTCTGAAGGCATGCCTCACTTCAAAAACTGTGAAGAGAGTTGTTTACACTTCCAGTTCCTCTGCTGTTGCTTTTATTGGCAAAGGCGATGAAGTGAAGGATGAGAGCTTCTGGAGTGACGTGGATTTACTTAGAACTTCAGAGACATACGGATGGTCCTATGCAGTTTCTAAGACATTGACAGAAAAAGCTGTGCTTGAATTTGGAGAACAAAATGGATTAGATATTGTGACTCTGATTCCCACTTTTGTTGTTGGACCATTCATTTGTCCTAAGCTTCCTGGCTCTGTTGGTTCAATACTCTATTTTTTATTTGGTACGTGCTTCACTCTATGTCACTTCCAATGCAGTTCTAACATTTATTTATGCAAATAATTTAGTTCTGTATAATGTCATTACATGTTTTTATTTTTAAAAATCTGATGCAGATAAGAAGGACCCATTCAGTTATCTGCAAATACCTGTGGTTCATGTTGATGACGTGGCAAGGGCACACATATTTCTGCTTGAACATCCCAATCCCAAAGGGAGATATAATTGTTCTACGTGTTTGGCAATCATTGAAGAAGTGTCTGAAGTTGTGTCTGCTAAATACCCAGAATTTCAAATGCCAACCATAGAGTGAGTTATCTTGCCCTTCTGACCTTATGCATGTTTATTCAAGTAACTCTTCCTTATGTTTTAACGTTTACTTCACCATTTCTTCTCTTGTTTATTGTAGTTCCTTAAGAGAAAGCACAAGCTTGAAATTTCCAGATCTCTCATCTAATAAGCTCATAGATGCTGGATTTGAGTTCAAGTATGGACTTGAGGAAATGTTGGTGGACGCAATTGAAAGTTGCAAAGAGAAGGGTTATTTGTAGAGCTACAATAAAATGTGTTATCTGTCAAAATATGATATATGGAAGGTGTTTTAATTGTATTTTTAGCATGTGTGTGTGATTTTAAATTAAATTGCGTGAAAAATTTATCGTTATATATGAACACTATGAAAATATGAAGTGTTTTGTTTCAACAAAATATGAGTAAGATTTGCATTACTAATAGGCTCATACTGAAGATTTTCGTGAGGAACAAACTTTTGATTACTAAAATATTTGAATGATATTTAAAAGGCTTTGATTCTATTAATTTAAATCTAATCTTATATTAACCGAGTCATTAGAAGTTTGTTTGCCCTACATATGTAAACAATCAACTCTTATCCTCTTTCATTCTTTTAAGTCTTGCTCTTACAGAGGGTCTCACCCTCGCCTTTTAATGATCATACACTATGATGGACTGTGCACGTGTTGTGGCACATGGTTTTAGTCTACTTAGCATGCACTCGGTCTCTAACTGACATCTTAAGGTCATTATCAAGCCCTAAAAGATCATTTAATCCTCTTAACCATTCATTATGTTAGTTTTACGAAATTAACCTTGATTAATCCATTAATAGATCAAGGATTAAAATTCGGGATGTTATACTAACTTTCTTGATAGGAGGTGAGGAGGAAGTACCCATAACAAATTCTATGACCTCTTTGACCCTCTTCCTTTTATTTGATTCCTCATCACACTTTTTTGGTCCAGTGCTCTAGGTTTGTGCTATATTCTCAATTTCAATGTTTTAAAACTTGGACCGGACAATGAACTAGAAATATCAGCGGGTCACAGGTTTCATGATTCAATCGGTTAGATTGATGGTTGAATTGGTAATATAATAATTAAATAAAAATAATATTTATATGCATAGATATTAAAAAACAGTTCAACCACTTTGGGTTTTGGATTTTTGCTCTGGGTCTTTAAGAACTGCTCGGGTCAAAGCGAGCCAACCTGAGTCAACTGTCAGAATAGGTTAAATGGTTAAATTAGACTGTTTTCTTCTTCAAGTGACAGTTCAACCAATTCAACTGTTTATGTCAGTTTAAGTCTTGAAACATTGCTCAATTTCAAAGCTTTCTAGAGTTTTGGCTAAATTGGGCTAAGTCCTACAGTGCATAAGGTAAGGTTGATTTGCACATATGTTCATACTAGAACGAGTGTAGATCAGACATTTTGGTATAGATGTATTTTAAATATTTGACAATGAAGTTCTAAGGACTTATCAGATATGATATAATGGACGCATTCTTATACTATTCAAAACATGATTTTGCTCTCAATAGTTTTCACAACATATTCTAAGAGAACAAACAAATAATTAAACTTACAACGTCTAAATCTTCTTCTTCTTTTTTTTTTTTTATAGTCTTGGAGGTTTTGTTACTTAGAGAATATAAGATTAATTTGCATAATTAACAAAATTGTCACATCTTAAACTTTTAAAGTATGAATGGTTGGAATACAAGAAAACTCATATTCCATAAGTCCCAAACCCATATAATCTATAATCTCTAATATATTAATTAATCAATCTAATCGTATAATCGTCATTTGTATTAAACAATTACTAGTATTAACAAAATATTCAAACTTGCTGTAGAAATTTTGACAAAGTCTCCCTTATAAGTTGGACTACTCAAAATCTCTACAACCTATCAAAAGAATATCCAAGCAGCATTTGGAGTTCTACTCTAATATAGATATATATATATATATATATACACAACCCAAAATAATTTAACTAAAGCTCTTGCCTCTATGATTCGTGGAGCAATTCTAGAACAAAACTAAAATACTTAAATATTTACATTAATCTACGATGTGAACAGCAACAAAATACTTCTTATCTTAAAGAATCCCATGAGGTCTACTAAAGAGAAGGTCTACTTCAACTATCTAAACACCAAAAATTCTTTCAATAAATAACGTTCTCAAATAATAATAATAATAATAAATAAAAATGATAACTAAAACATATGCAATAAGAAACAAGTGATAATCTAATTAACGATGGTATTAGAAAATAATAACACAATTTATCTTGATAATTAAGTAACAAAAATAGAAGAGAGCAAAATAAAAAAAATCATAATTAACCAATTAAGAAATAGATTTAAAATTTTTTATATAAAACAAATCATAAAAATACAGTTCTTAAGGATGAAGATATAACGTGGAAACTTGTTTTCAATTAGGACATAAATAGAACGAATAATAGGCTTGGACACACAGCATGAGGGTAAGTAACATCTGGCGTGGCTAAAAGCTATAAAAAACAAGCGTAAACATAAAATTCACAAATAACAAGCGTGACTTATATCCACGAAATTACACCCTTCGTTCCACGTGTATTGACTGACACACGAGGCTAGCACCTCCAATGTACCCTGCTAGCTAGGTATGCCATGGTTCGCCAAGGGCTAACAATACTATCATTAGCAACCAGCGTTTTATATCCAGTCCTGTAAAACATTTCTAGCATGCATGAAATCTATAAACCTTTATAGTTCAAATTGTTCTTTAATTTGTAAGATATAAATGATTTTTTCATCAATAATTTATCTGATGCGTGTATGATATATTATTTTTTTTAAAAAATAAAATACCATGAAAATGCCTACATGATTAAAGTTGAATAATAAACAAACTAGTTACATATGAATGAGCTTAATCATAAGATACAATTTAAAAAGATCTATTCAAAATAATTAAAGTAAACAAAAAAGGTAAAAGAAAGATAATTGCTTCTATATTTATTGGAAAACATTATTTACTTACCTGGTATGTCGTCAAGTTCTTAAAATTCCCTTCTCACGACTTTAATTAAACTTCTCTTCTTCTAGAATCCCTATTAGATATAATAAAACTTTAATAAATCTTTCTACAAATTGAATCAATTTTTCATGCATCCTCTTTTATGTCTCCCAATTCTCTATTTTTATTCTTAGCCAAATTAATTATATTGTTATAACATAAGCCTAATTATGCTTCTTAATCATCCTTTGCCAAGTATCAACATAAATATTATAATACGCGCGCGCGTGCACATATCATGATTCCTTGTTCAGCAACAAAACTCAAGTCTTCAATTTAACATTAGCTAAATGAACAATTGTTCCCTTAATCGTACAGCTCTAATTCAAAAGGGCAAGGAAAGAGGTTAAAATTTAACATTTAAAGCAAGAGGAATATCAATGTCCAGCACTCATATGGCACACACAAACCAGCAGCATAGAGAAGAGAATGAAGAATTCAATTTGCTAACTTAGCACAGTAGAACAGGGGATGGAAGAACTGATAGCACACACAAGAATAGAAAGAAATCATCAAGAAAACCTTTAGTAATAGCAAACTAACTACTCGGCCTTCACACACGAAATGAAGGGAGGAGGAGGAAGTCACGGTTCCATTAAGCCCACGACAGTAGTATTTATTTGTCGACTGCACTTACTCATACCAGCAAACGGGAGAAGAGAAAGGAAAGGAAGAACAAGAAATAAAGGGGCCGATGAAGATGAGTGACGGAGGAAGAAGAAAGGAGAGCGAAGGTCGGTGAAATCTTGAAAAACTCTCTCTCTCTTTCTCTCTCTCTCATATGTTCGCTCGCTTTGTTTTTGCCTCATTTTACCAACAGAGGAAGAGGATTTGAATGAAAATATCATGGTGAAAATTATCCAATAGACCCAATCTTGTTGGTAAAATTACACCCACCATACTACTACTACTACTAATAAATTACACCCACCATACTATCACCACCACCATCACTACTATTATTACTACTACCACTACTACTATAACTATCATTACCACTGCTAGAACTCTCTTTCTCTCTTGTGTTCGCTCACTTTGTTTTTGCCTCATTTTACTGACAGGGGAAGCGGATTTGAATAAAAATATCATGGGGGAAAATTACCAAATAAGACCTAAGCTTGTTGATAAAATTACACACACCATACTACTATTACTACTACTACTACTAAATTACACCCACCCACCATATCACCACCACGCCCTCCTATTATTATTAATTTAGGGTTATTACAAAAACCATTTCTCTTAATTTTATAATAATTAAAATACATGATTTAACAAAGGGATTATTGGACATTGATATATTAAGGGTAATGGCACAAGTAAGCTTTGTATATAAGCTGGTGATTTCTAAGTAGGTTGTGTATCTTGTTATGTAGTATTAATTTGAAACTGGTTTTTCTGTTGTTGATTATTTATTGTTTTACTAGTTTTTTTTGGAAAAATAACAAAAAAAATCTCAAAAATATGCAATTGATAATGAGGTTCTGCAAATTGCTATAATTGTTCTCAAGTTTTTAGGGATCTTTTGGACATTAATTATTTTAAGTGAAATGACTAAAATACCCTTAATTTAAAAATGAAAAAAAGTAACAACTGTGGACCGAAACAGTTAATAGTAGTGACTATTTTAGTTTAAATAATAATTACTTTTCTTTTAGTAATGATTAGAATGGAAAAAATATTTACAACTTTTGCTATACAAATTTTTGATTCACTGAAATTCAAATATTTATAACTACTTTAGTTTAAGCAATAAATACTTTTCTTCTCACAATGATTAAAACAAAGCAAGCAATTATAATTTTTCCTGTGCCAATTTTTTATTTAATGAAGTTCAAATATTGTAAATATCCATAACTACTTTGATTTAAACAATAACTACTTTTTTGTAACAATGACCATAACGGATCAAAAAACTTATAACTTTTCCTTTGCAAATTTTTGATTCATTGAAGTTCATGAATTGCAAAATATCAGTGACTACTTCAGTTTAAGTGATGATTACTTTTTTTGAGCAATGACTAAAATAGAACAAGCAATATAATTACTATTTTTGTTTAGACTAGAAGTATTTTAGTCATTTTACAAAAAATTATTAATGTTAAAAATGTCCCTAGAGACTTAAAAAAAATTATAACATTCTGCTGGACCTCATTGTTATTTGCATATTTCATGAGAATTTTTATATCATCTCTCTCTGTATTTTGTTTTTGGGCTTAGCTATTTGGTTTGTTAGAATATATTGTATAAATTTGAGTGATTTTAGCTACTTTTGGCTTCGACCTTTCGTAGTTGTAAAATGATTATTAATAAAAATGACTTGACATGTTCAGACATTTGCATTCATGATATA